CTGCAACCGAGGAAGGCGCCGGGGCACGATCGGATCACGAACGCTGCACTCCGACAGCTGCCCCATAGATCCATTGTAGAGCTAGGACGACTCTACAATGGCATACTGCGGACTTCACACTTCCCGGAGGACTGGAAGAAAGGCAAGGTCATAGTTTTGCCGAAACCCGGGAAGGACAGGCGTAGAGCAGCTAGCTACAGACCTATAACGCTGCTGCCGCACATAGCCAAATTATTTTAACGGATCGCCTTAAGAAGAATCCGCCCGTGTATCCAACTGCGGCTGGAACAACATGAATTTAGGAGCGGACACTCCACACCGACACAGCTGACCAGAGTGCTGCACCACCTGGCGGCCGAATATAACCGGGATCACACATCGTTGGACATCTTCCTTGGCATCGAGAAGGCGTTCGACAGGGTGTGGCACTCTGGCTTACTCTATAAGATGGAACAACAGACGAGTGTCCCTCCGGCTATGCTGCGGCTAGTGGCGTCGCTCCTAGCCGGCCGGAGCTTCTACGTCTGTGTCGAAGATGCCGAATCCGCAGTAAAACCCATAAGAGCTGGCGTACCACAGGGCAGCTGTCTTTCACCGATCCTGTACGTGGCTTACACTAATGACATCCCTAATCTGGCAGGACACCTACGCGAATGGGAGGACGACGTAGAGCTGACGCTATATGCGGACGATAGCGCCTACTTCACCTCGTCCAGAAGCCCCCATCTCGCCGTCACCAAGATGCAGCGCCTGCTGGATCTGCTGCCACCGTGGCTGGATGAGTGGAGGATGGCTGTAAATGTTGGGAAAACGGCCGCCCTCCTCGCCCGCCGCTACCGGAACTTCCCGCCCCCGTTGATGCTTAGTGGCCAGGAGATTGCGTATGAGAAGGCCGTGACCTACCTTGGGTGCCGGATTGACAGGATGTTGCGCATGATCGCGCACTGCAATGCCAGATGTGCGCGGGCGATGCTCCGTCCAGTCCTGGCATCCAAACTACCGCTGAAGACCAAGATAAAGATATATAAATTGTATATATGACCGAAGATCACCTACGCCGCGCCTGCCTGGTACGCACTCCTGAGCGAACGGCAGAGGCAGCGGCTGCAGGTTCAGCAGAACCTATCTCTACGGACCATCGTCGGTGCAGGTCGCTACGTCCGGAAAGACTTTATATGATTTATGATATTTTTAAATTATAGGAGCCACGCCAAATAAACGCGCACGGCGGTTATAACAGTCACCTAGGTCTTTATGAGCCCTTTCAAATGAGCTCAAACACGATCGTTCTATCTAGTGCCGCCACTGAGATCCTATATCCACATTCGGATTGCACCATCAGAAAGGTGAGGTCATAACAGTCACCTAGGCCTTTATGAGCCCTTTCAAATGAGCTCAAACACGATCGTTCTATCTAGTGCCGCCACTGAGATCCTATATCCACCTTCGGATTGCACCATCAGAAAGTTGAGGTCATAACAGTCACCTAGGTCTTTATGAGCCCTTTCAAATGAGCTCAAACACGATCGTTCTATCTAGTGCCGCCACTGAGATCCTATATCCACATTCAGATTGCACCATCAGAAAGGTGAGGTCATAACAGTCACCTAGGTCTTTATGAGCCCTTTCAAATGAGCTCAAACACGATCGTTCTATCTAGTGCCGCCACTGAGATCCTATATCCACATTCGGATTGCACCATCAGAAAGGTGAGGTCATAACAGTCACCTAGGTCTTTATGAGCCCTTTCAAATGAGCTCAAACACGATCGTTCTATCTAGTGCCATCACTGAGATCCTATACCCACCTTCTAATTGCACCATCATAAAGGTGACATCATCACAGTCAACTAGGTCTCCATTTACGTATTTGAAAATGAGTCCAAACACGATGGTTCTACGTAGTAACATCACTGAGATCCTTCACCTACCTTCTGAGTACACCATAAGGAAGGTGACATCATTACAATCACCTTAGTCTCCATTCTCCTTGACGGAGGATGGAGACCAAGGACCAACTTATTTAAATATATAAAATAATATAAAATCTAAACATCATATAAATTATGTAAGTAGCTATTAATAAAGTATACTATGAATGTACTTACCAATAATTGAAACGAACTGAAGCCAGCGGATTTACGATGCGCCCGGAAAAATACGTGAGTTGCCGTCAGTTAAAAATTTCAACTTAAGATTTCACACTCACGATCAGTTTTTGGATGTACGTCAGTTAAACTGATCAGTTTAACTGGCCGTGAGTGGGGACCATTACACTTTTTCCCGACAAATTCGTACCGTCCGTTATGGTACTTCGTTCCAAAAATATTCAGCATTTAGGTAGGTAATTTTTTCTTACTACCCAAACAATTTTAATTTATAAGAGGTGAAATGGAAACAATATGGTATGTAATTTTGATTCGGTAGCCAATGTATGTGATCAAAGTAGTAAAAGCTAGACTTGACAAGTAAAGATTGTTATTTGAATTACAGTTATAGATTATAGTGACGGTTCTTCATAAGTGGAATGTCACCTGTTTGCGCACCTGTTTTACCCACTTCATATTCTTGAATAAAACATCGCGCGTGTCTAGTTAATACCCATGTTTCTGTTATAAACAACTTATTAGGGTTCAAAACGAAAAGTAAACCTTTTCGAATTTCGGAAAAACAAAATTTTATTAAGTATAAAACTTATTTAATTGCTGAAATGGACATAAGTAAGTATTTTTAAAGTGATACACTTAGAAATGAGGATATCCGCAGTAGAACCAGAGTAACCGACATAGCCCAACGGATTGGTAAGCTGAAGTGGCAGTGGGCCGGCCATATAGCTCGAAGTACCGACAACCGATGGGGAAAAAAGGTTCTCGAGTGGCAGCCTCGTACCGGTAGACGAAGTGTAGGGCGTCCCCCCACGAGATGGAGTGACGACCTGGTAAGATATGCAGGAAGTCGATGGATGCAGGTAGCTCAGGACCGTGTTTTGTGGCATTCCTTGGGGAAGGCCTATGTTCAGCACTAGACTTGTGAAGGGCTGTAATGATAATGATGATGATGATAATTTTAATTTATATCGACCGACACCGACCATGTAGTCGCGGTGTAGCAATATCCACTACCCCATATCATCCCGTGGGTGTCGTAAGACGCGACTGAGGGAAACAAACCAGAACATACATATACTAAAAAAACTGTGATTAAAACTGCTTGTAATCCCCTAAGGAGGGGGCAGAGTCAAACAAGTTATTAGGACCACATTTAGCCAAATAAAATAAAAAAAAATGGTTAAGACCTTTTGAGCGCTGTTTGCAAGTGCAACAAGATACATTACAACGTAATAATTTAGCAATCAAGTTATATTCATATGCTTAGGCCGCATTTCAACGGTGGTAGAGCCACGCAGTTTTTGCTGTTGCACGTATGGGCCGGCTCGAGCCGGGTTGGTACCACGACCTCACAGAATACCGACGTGAAGTAGAAGCCCTGCTTCTGCGTTTCGTCTGATGAGTGCAGGTGGCCAGAAGCCCAATCACCCCCCCCCCCCCCACCCCCTGACACTCCTGAGCGTGGGTGCTCAGGCTGCAGGCGAAATTCCGCTCAAAAATATAACTGCTCGGGGCAAACTGAGCAACAATACCAAGGCGACCCCTGCCACACTATCCGTGAATTTCTGCAACATCAGGGGACTTCACTCGAACCTAAACGCCGTCCACTGCCACCTCGAGACGGCGAAGCCGGCCTTGCTCTTTCTGACCGAGACGCAGGTATCCTCTCCGGCTGATACTTCGTATCTCTCCTACCCGGGGTACAAATTGAAGCAAAAAAAGCGCAAAGGAGCGCCTCGGGCTGGAGTTTGCGTATACGTCAGTGAGGACATCTGTTCTCGACGCCTCGGCAGTCTTGAAGATTCGGACCTGTCCATCCTTTGACTGCGCGTAGACAGCGACGACCATCCGCGCGTCTACGGGTGCCTCTATAGGCTCCATAGCGGTAATGCCGAAACAGAAAACTTTCGAAACAGACCGACTCATCGACCACGTTCAAATGGCTACAGATTCCTTGATACAACAGGTCCCAACCGCAGAGATCGTGATTGGCGCTTCGAAGAGATGTTGCATCCCTTTGCATTTTCTTTCGCATTTACCACGGGGAGTGCTCTGAGGAATTGTTCGGATTAATCCCACCCGCCAAATTTCACGATCCACACCATTTGGATGATTGGCGGTCCACCACTGTGCGATTTAGAAGATGTTTTCTTCCTCGCACAACTTCCTTGTGGATTCGATTACCATCAGCGATTTTTCCGGACCGATACGACTTAGGGACCTTCAAAAAAAGAGCCTACTCCTTTTTTAAAGGCCGGCAACGCATCTCCAATTCCCCTGGTTCCCTTTGTGTTGCAGTTGTTCATGGGCGGCGGTAGTCACTTACCATCAGGTGAGCCGCATGCTTGTTTGCCCCCCTCCTATAAAAAAAAATTATCAACTTTCGATGAATTTTAGGGCCACGATACAGGAGAAAAATATAACGATAATGTTTTCTTAAAAAGAAAGAAAGAAAAAAAGGAAGACTTTTTTACTTTGTAGTAAAGCTCCTTGGTTATTTTGCTCCTTGCTTCATGATCTCAAACGCTGGCCGCCGTTTTTACAGAAATCCTTACTTTTTAAATTATTAAGAACAATCGAGCAAACCGAAATGTTTTTGGGCTAAGTTCAACCCTAACACCGCGGTTGTCATGTACACAGGCAGACTCAAACGTGTAAACAAAAAAACGATCGATATTAATTCTAACTCTACGTAATAGCTTTGCTGCTTTCACGTCGAACACAACTCTTATTTGAAACTGTTTACCAAATCCAAATTCACTTGCTATTTTGTTTTGACGTTGATTTTGGCGGGAATGCACAAGACGTCTTTCGTTCGGGAACGCGAATGAAGAATACTGTTGAGCATACGGAATTTTCTAGTTGTAAAGTGTGGAAAAACGTGGCATCCTGCATGGAGAAATGGTTCGGTGATAAACGGCTGTGGTTATTTGGAAACAACCTGCCGCTGCTACCAAGAAGGTAGGTAAAAATTTTTATAAAATAACTAAATATAGTAGATATATAATATGCTTGTACTTTAAAAGATGATGTGTGAAAAATTGTAAATATACAATAAATTTGACGTGGGCAAAATGGGAAATTACATTCACTTGTGGACAAAAATAGATACAATTCAGAAATATTTCAAATAAAAATAGAATGTGTATCATATATATGGCGTAACCAACTAAAGTTGTCAGGTATTAGTAGTAGGTACATACAGGGATCTAAACGTGGTCCTTTACTTCGCCGAGGAAGCTTAGTTGTGGAGTTGATTCGTTTAATTCTATTTTAAAATTCGCTTCTAAAAAATACTTTATTTTAAAGTGAGATGTTAAAATATTTGAAATAGGTAGTATATGGAACAAAGGCTTATCAACCAAAACCATAATCGAGTACTTTAGTGTAAGAGATTTATTTTTACTAAGTTTAAGATTTGATGACGATTCTTCTGATTTCAATATTATAATCTTTTCATCGTGTTAAAGTGCACAGGTGGACATAGGGCTCTTTCATTGTAGGGAAGATTTTCCTTAAGCGCTGGGGATTGGTGATCCCAGTTTTGCTCCATTACTGCTGCTTCCCGTCGCCGCTCTGGATATGGTCCTTCACTGCTGGCCGTAGGAGGAAGCTCAAGGTCGCTCAGCGAGCTATGGAAGGATAATGCTCGGGGTTTCTCTACGTGATAAACTTAGATGCCATCAAAAACATAACTTGTAAAAAAAACCAAGTCTCGCAACTCAGTTTTTCTACCGTAAAAAGTTGTGAGATCCATGTAATACCAAGTCGGTCAATTTATTCAGTCCCTACTTAAGGGTTCTTCTGTCTTAAGTTATTACGTAATTAGCTAACCTAACAACATCTTATAGTGACTATATCAATATTAAAAATCTTTTATGTTTTAAATAAATTGACTTGGCCATCGCATGAAAACACAATGTATATCTCAAGTAATACATAATACATTAAATTAGATTGTTTAGTGTAATTCCAAGATAATTTTAAACACAATTACGGACATGTACCTTTTACCATTTTCGTCAAAAAAATATGTAGCACAAAACGTAAAAAATTAAATATTTCAAAATTAAACAGCTAACCAATTAATAAGATCTTAGAAAAATGCCACAACTAAAAACAGAAAAACTTCAAAAAAAATTATATCTAAACATTAATAAAAAAATTGGTAGTAGATCCACGTCTACAGTTCACTGTAACACATAAATGAGCAGAGTCGACCGGTGCGATACTACCCTCTCACAGAAAATCAGCGTGAAGTGGTTAGCTTCTTAGTGGCTGCCATGTTTCGTCTGGTGAGTGAGAGTTTCGGATGCCAATTCCTTTTCCCCTTTTCTTAAGGCCACCCGAATGTTGACGTTTGCTAGATAAACCGATGTGACGTTGCATTGTTTTAGGAGCAGTGATGTTGCATTTACTAACGAGTGTCTGGTAGTCTTTCCCTTTCTTTAAGTTCCTACTCCCATTCCTACGAATCCTGTTCCTATACTTTATGAGACGCAACGCACAATTAACACTCCTGTTGTTTCTTGTGTCTATGGGCAGCGGTGAAATCACTTAGCCATCAGGTGACTCGCTTGCTCCTTTTGCCTCTCTTATAATATACAAATATTAATATAAATACCTTTAGATAATATTAGCTGAAACTGTGCCGCTGACAATTTATATAATGTAACAAAACAAAACATTTTTCAGGTACAGTTTGAGAACATGAGACCATTTGTATGACTTTTGAAAACGGGGCAAGATGGAAACTGAAAGAAAGATAAAAAGAAAGATGGAAATGTTTATCTTACCCCGTCAAATTTTGGCGGGTAAAGTCGGAATGTTACAATAAATCCTAAAAGCCAAAAAGTAGCGATATTTAGACATAGCAACATAACTACCAATTAAAAATAATGAGTATGTATACAAATAAATCAAGTTACACGACACGGGGTAAGATTAAAACACCCGACTTGCTCGCGTAAAATTCACAGCGTAGATATTCCCTTGTAACACAAAACCTATCCCTCAAAACGACAAGTGCCGACTTAGGTGTGGTACGTAACAAAATGGCGGTCTTATGAATGTTGCCTGCATTGGATAAATTACACAAAATCTGTCTTTACTGATGCCTTTTTGTCTTACCCCGTTTTTCATCTTCCCCCCACTCACCCTATACCAAATTTGAAGCTTCTATGTCTGATAGAAGTGCCTTAGAGTTTTTGTGATCGGTCAGTCAGTGAGTGACACAATTAAGAAACTTTGACTAGTATAACTCTTAAACTACTCGTTAAAATTTAATGATATTTGAAATATACCGAGTTTATACATTGCCTACTGGGTTACTGAAAATTCAGGCTTCTAGTTTTATTCACATCGAAGTTATAGGGTTCCGAAAATGGCCTGAACTGCTTCGAGAAAAGGATGGTACGGCCGTGCCGCTTTTTTGCTCGACTTGGCGGGGGCACTGCCGTGCCCCCAGAAATGAGGATATACGCAAAACTTATTAAGGGTGACGAACGAGCACACACTCCACCTCATGGTAAATGGATGCTGTGGACCATAAACATCTACATCTATTCTCGATTACGAATCAAAATGCATATGCGTTGTCACCCGTGAGGGTTAAGATGTACCTAATGCCTCGTTTCCAGTAAAAAGGGTCTCCGGTTCTCTGCACTCGCCATATGAAACATAACAGCATTAAGCTGCTATTTTACGATGGTTTCTACATTCGTACTACAACCATAATATAGCTGCAGCTCCACCACGTATGAAATGATATTCCCAGAATGATAGTAATAAGAAGAATAATAACAAAGAGACTGGCTACTTTTCTACCAACTTCATAAAGGAGGAGGTACTCAATTCGACTGTATGTTTTTTTTATGTGTGTTATCATAACTTTTTCTGGGTGAACCGATATCGATGATTCTTTTTTTATTTGAAAGCTTCTCAGTGGTCCCATATAAATTTGATCTAGGTTTGACCAATAGTTTTTGAGTTATTCTTAATAATTTATATTAAAGTCGGTTGTAATAAATTTTTAATTTTATTACAACCGACTAAAAATAAAATTTTCAATTTTATTTCTACCAACGAATTACAGTAGAAAGGGTTTACTAAGTAGCGAAGGCATAATAAAAGTCTTTAATGCGCAGAACATCCACAAGACAATGTCCTCATCATACCGATGGCAGCAATGAACAAGATTTCTTAAATCTAGGGAGACTGATAAACATCGGGAAATTACTAAATACCAAAAAACTTTAATACGTGACTATCAAAGCGTACCGACTCGGATGTAACATTGCATGATAACTACGTAACATCGAACTGATTAGAGATAATTAATACATTAATTAACCAACTGTATTGAGGTGAAGGAAACACGTAAATCATTTGGTGTTTTTTTTTTTTTATAGGATCGGGTGCCAAACGAGCACACAGTCCACCTGATGGTAAGTGGTTACTGTGACCCATAGACATCTACATCTATCCTCAATAAAGACTCAAGATGCAGATGCGTTGTCACCCGTGAGGACTAAGATGGAATGCCTCTTTGCCAGTAAAAAGGGTCTCCGGTTCTCTACACTCACCATACGAAACACAGCAGCGTTAAGCTGCTATTTTACGCTGGTTTTCTGTGAGAGCGTGGTCCTTCCCCGTTCGAGCCGACCCATTCGTGCTACAACCATAATATAGCTGCAGCATGGCTCTACCACGTACCGTGTATGCACTAGACGTTAACAATAACTTGATCTTATAAAAACGATTATAAAGTTAAAAAAAATATTTTAATCGGTTTAGGCTTTTTTAATCAAAACACTTATGAATTATTACTCTTTACTATTCGGATTGTAAAATCCAAATCATATAAATAAGTAAAATTTCATTACTTTGCATCACATCACTACAGCCCTTCACAAGTCCACTGCTGAACATAGGCCTCCCCCAAAGAATGCCACAAAACACGGTCCTGAGCCACCTGCATCCATCGACCTCCTGCATGTCTTACCAGGTCGTCACTCCATCTCGTGGGGGACGCCCTACACTTCGCCTACCGGTACGAGGCTGCCACTCGAGAACCTTTCTTCCCCATCGGTTGTCGGTTCTTCGAGCTATATGGCCGGCCCACTGCCACTTCAGCTTACTAATCCGTTGGGCTATGTCGGTCACTCTGGTTCTACTGCGGATATCCTCATTCCTAAGTTTATCACGCAGAGAAACTCCGAGCATAGCCCTCTCCATAGCTCGCTGAGCGACCTTGAGCTTCCTCATACGGCCAGCAGTGAAGGACCACGTCTCAGTTCCGTAAGTCATCACTGGCAACACGCACTGGTTGTACAATTTCGTTTTAAGGTTTTGAGGTATGTCTGACGAGAAGATGTGTCGTAGCTTCCCGAACGCTGCCCAGCCGAGTTGAATCCGTCGATTGACCTCTCGGTCGAAGTTGGACTTACCCAGTCGGACTATTTGTCCCAGGTAAACATACTCGTCAACAACTTCGAGCTTAGTGTTCCCAACAACTATCGGCATAGGTGTGACATGGACATTAAACATGATCTTAGTTTTGTCCATGTTCATCTTAAGACCTATCCGTTGGGAAACACTATTGAGGTCATTGAGCATAGTGCTTAGGTCCTCCAGCGATTCTGCCATAAGGACTATATCGTCGGCAAATCGAAGGTGAGTGATGTACTCGCCATTGATGTTGATACCGTATCCTTTCCAGTCCAGAAGCTTGAAAACGTCTTCCAATGCAGCGGTGAAGAGTTTCGGGGATATGACGTCACCCTGTCTTACACCTCTCTGCAATTGGATAGGTTTCGTACTCTGGTTCTGTACTCGGATAGCCATCGTAGCCCTACTGTACAAGCACTTCAACACTTCGATATACCGACAGTCAACTTGGCACCGCTGAAGGGACTGCAGCACCGCCCAAATTTCGACGGAATCAAAGGCTTTCTCATAGT